ACTTTAGTGGGGGGTGGTGGTGGTTTGCATAAACGAGGGCAAGGCTGCAATTAAAAGCAATGGGGGGGGGGGGGGTTACACATAATTTCATGGTCGTTGTAATTTGGGTTACCATATTGTGGTATTTGACAAAAGGAAAGGATCCAAAACGTTATATACCGAGGAAGTACATGTAGAACCATTCCCTAGCTACTTCCAGCATCAGCATTTTATTTCTTATGATCACTAAGCTCTTTAACTCAGGGCATGCTCCGTATATTGGGGGGGGGGGGGGGCAATAGACCTACATGTTTCTTAGTATAGTAAATTATCAAACAAACAAACAATCATACCTACCTCCGATCTCACGAACAAGTCGGGTTCCTTGTGATCAAATCCAAAGTTTGCACACTGGAATTCTGCGGCACAGCAGTTTTTATCACCCTCTCCACCTCGTGAGCGGTTATCCTCAACATTGAACTCCGCGGACATCGTTCTTTGGGTTACTTCCAATAATGTCTAACCATGAACAGAAAACGAAATTCACCGCCGTCACCACTCGTTATCTGCTAAGATATGGTCCGTACGGTTAACTGAGCATGTCACCGACTGACAGAACTGATGTGATGGTCAGCTGTCACACCGCTTGGACATCTAAAGGACCCAGTAACTACTGACACCGACCTTCTACAATTGGGTGGACAATTCCGTCTCCTTCACTTAGGCCTACACAGAAACTCAGTGAAGTGGAGTAGGGTATCAATGTACCAGTGCTTGTAGTCGCGATGCCCTTCGTTTGTCGCTTAATAATAGCCACAAAATGGTCACAAAGCAACAGCCATAACACGAGCCAAATGAATCATGTCATGCTTCAGTTCATATTTGCGGTCAGACAGTGCTAAAATTCTGGCTGATAAAATTATAACGCTGTGTTTACCTGGGTGTTGCGGTGAATGGTGTCTTTGTCGTTGTTTACGATGCTTGTGTTTAGACTCCGCAAGTGTTCATTATATAGAGGCCGTGTTCTATAATTGGTATACAGAAACCATACGCTGTTCTTTTATGGGACGAAATTTTTACTGTGGTTGTCACTGACAAGCGCATGTTGTCCTAGATGAGTCTCTTTTTGGGTTAAATATCTGTTGCAACGTGAATATCAAACCGAGGCCGCCGTTTGGAAAAAGCAGCGTCCTGACATGCGTCCCCTCCTCTTGTCTCCGTCCATGGCAACAGTTACAGTGACATTGCACTGTAACCAAGGCCAAGTTATAAAACATTCATGATGTAAATATGTGTCAACTTAATTTTGTCACCGGTAGTTTCAATCTTTATATCTGTAATATTAGTAGTTGACAGCCAAAGAGTGAATAAGGAGCGGGTGTGTTAAGGTAGAGTTACTGAGTTGATTGAGATGCTCTTATGAAACTTAAACGACTGCGTGTAATATGAAAGGGTATAACAGAGTTTACTACCTCGCGTAACAGCAAAAGATAAAAGACAACAACTTCGTGACATATCCATAATTCCCCACCCTATACATATCGGTAAAACGCTGCTCTCAACATGAAAACGAAAGAATGAAGTGGAGTACCTTTACATCTACTAGTAGAGATTAATTTCTTAACTTATGCCTCAACTTCTCTGGGCATGTTTTGATTTGAGTCAGGTCCGTGAATTAAGCACCAAGACCTTAACATGGGCGAAAGAGATTTTGACCCTCTCCATTTAACATAAAATTGCTCAGAGCCCCCTCCCACCCCCCCCCCAAAAAAAAAAAAAAAAAAAAAAAAAACTGCACCTTCTCCTTATCCTTCCACTTAGCATTAAATCTTGAACAATTCAATTGACTAAATCTAATCTTTTTCATTCAGAGTGATTTCATCTAAAAAAACTCCATTTAGAATTTAGAACGACAAATGTGTTGTCAATGAAAGTACAGCGCAGAGAGCAAGCCCGAACAATGTATGTTAATACATGCAGAGTTAATCTTATCTTTGTGATCCTGGAAGAGGGTTCGCTATAAATACAGGCACAATGCCCATTAGGTACATGCACATACATACTTATTCAGATGCAATCCCGCTTCATCTTTTTCCCCTCCTAGCTATAGGTTTAAAAATAACTTTCGTCGATTTGATGACTTTTAAATCATAAAAGTTTTTCTTTATCCCGAATTATGACGGTTCGGGTGAAAAAAATATCCCCATCTGGCTGTTAAAATGCATTCATTAATATGTACTTCTAAACATAGAACAAAACCAGGCTGCATGAATAATTTTAGACTCGAATGTCTTTGAAAGCACTTAAAATGCATCCACACGAACTGTTTTCGTCTACCACCTGTACTACCCCTCCAAGAAAAAGAATAGAAAAAGAGAAAGAAAATAGAAAGACAGAAAACTGATCGTAAAAAAAGAAACTATACAATGCAAAAATAAATAAACTTTGCATTAATAATCGATATTTACCGATGAAACGTGACTGTATGAGTAATGTACACGCTCCAAACGGAGTTTAAAAAGGTAAATTTGATCACGAACCATTTAAAAGTCACAGGAAATGTTTATTAAATAAAAGATTCGTGTGAAACGTGTGTCCTGGGGCACTCGAGAAAACGACATTTTAGGCAGTTTTAGGCTCGTAAATGAATAGGAATACTTGAATGACGCACAATTCATTCCGTCGTGTTGTAATCAGAATTACTAATGTTTATTTATATCTGAAACGTGACAGCATAAAGTACAGTCATCATCTATTGTACTAATACATTTTGGTAAAGGTGATGAATAGTATATGATTACTAAAGGTAATACACAGCAGGTTACACAGCAGGTTAAAGGTACATTTGTACGCGTTAGAACCTTTTTTCTAAAGTCATGTTTCGTCGTCTTAATTACTCTACATACCCCGCAAGGCATAAATTGCCACATTCAGTACAGTGGACTGACTAGTCCGCGGGTCAAATATGGGGACCCGCTAAAAAGCTTACCATCTAATCCGCTAATAGACACTGAATAGAATATAGATTCCCCATGGAGAAGTATAATTAATTATCACCAAAGCCTAGTTATTTCTTCCTTTGCCCCTTTGTGGCCTATCCTGCAAATTTTATCAAAACATTTACATAATTAATCAATTTGATCATCACCAAAATTTTATCATTATTTCCTTTTTCCATTTCTGACATATCCTAAAAATTTCATGAAATTTGCCATTTTGCTACTTATCCTGAAAATATAGTTATTAAACAATTAATTAACTCATCAGTGGATCATCGCCAAAACCAAACCATTTCTTCCTTGGGCCATTTGTGACCAATCCTGAAAATGTCATCAAAATCCATCCATTACTTTTTGCGTAATGTTGTACACAGACATACAAAGAAACCCCTCTAGCGGGATCCAGTTCTTCCAATTTTCTTCGATCAGCATGCTACAGAGAAGACGCATGTGTCGATTGCGTGTGTTGTGACAGATGATTTGCACACCTAGCGCAATGGGGTTAAACCCTGTCAACAGTAGCACGTTTCCACAGTGGTTCATTTTTTCAAAGATAACGAAAAAAAAAAGTTTTTGTGTATCGCGTAGTCTCAAAATCCCACATTGCAGTTTCACAGCCAGAGAGAGAGAGAGAGAGAGAGAGAGTGAATGAATGAATGACAGAGAGAGAGAGTGAATGAATGAATGAATGACAAACCTTCCAATACCGCCTTTGTATAAAGAGACAACTATTTTATTGTTGCTTCAGGGAAATTCACACAGACACATATACGTATGCCACCTGATCAAAATTTCATACCATTAACACTGGCAAAGTTGAAGTTATTAGAGACGCATAAAACATGGAAGCATATATTTTGAGTGTTAACATTACAATTGAAACCGGGTAGGAATAATGAACACATTCAGCAAAGGGCGGAAGCCAAAGAAAACACCAAATCAACAGACCCTTGTGTTTCACAGCTAACACGCTGTTTTTTACACAAGAGAAAGCCATGTTTCAGCTAATGAAATACATAGCAAAATTACTGTCCATCTCCGCATGCTTGCAGACCCCATTTTTTTTCAGAATCCTGTTTACAAAAAGTATCACACTTTCAAATAAGCCTATTAACAGGGAAGAATATCAGATTACTCACAAGCACACCTTTCACACACAAAGAAATTTACCCCAACCTCTGTCTTTTAATTATCACCTTACTGTTTTCCATCCATTTTCTTTGTATTCCAGGATGCCTCCTTTTGGCATGTTCATCCCACTTTATATATTTTTTCACAATTTTTGCCAAATTTTTGCATGACCAGTAGCAACTTTTTTCCTTAAGACGTTTGTTATCTCTCAATCCCTTTTATCTTCCCTATGAAACGTAGATCCACTACTGATATATAACTTCAACAAACTGGGTATGCTACAGTCTATACAAGTTTCTATCTTAACATATAAAAATACATATAAATAAGGTCAAACATGAGACCTGTTTAGTATATAAACAACAAAGTAAACCGTCATCATTACACATTTCTCATAAGTTGTACATCAATATATGCATTCACATATGCCTACATATACTATATGTAGCACAAAACACAAAAGTATATATGTAACAGATTTTAATAATTAATTTATAGCACATGTATCAAGATTTCTATAACAGACTATGTGCCAGTGAATGTTAAGGGAGCCCCCCCACCCCCCAAAAAAAATGGTATGATAAATTAATGGAAAAAGGCAACTAAACTTCAACTGGAACTAACTTGAGAGCATCTGGTTATTGATAGCCGATACTTCTGCTACACTAAAACCTAACATTTTCAGCTTGAATTACATTCTTCAACATGATATAAACCAAATCAGAAAGTATGATAATCCTATCAGGTATTACTAAAATGATTTCAGAAATGAAATAAATTAGTTCTGTTTGCACTTGGGAAGCTGTTCCTACCAAGATGCCACCTTACATACAATAGTTGTAAACATGAGGAGCATAGGAGTAACAAAACCCTGCTTCTCAGTGGAAAAAAAAACAAAAAACAAAAAAACGGAATGACAGACATTTATGTAACTGCAGACATGACTATATCAAATACCATACAGAAGTTGGCAAATTGCAAAGCACAGCTAAAATTTTTAGCAGTTTCCACTCATGGCATATCGTCAATAAAACAAACAAGGTTGAACATTGCACATTGTAGCTTAATATTTTTGACATTAGAGGCTTGTTATAAATAATATTTGGTTGATAACTTCATAAGCCTATCTCTACATCTGAACAGCGCACGATTTATATCTAGTCCACGTTTTGTACCTACAAATGGCACTGATCTTTTCTAGTACATTTTTTCTAATTTTCTCTTAACAATAACTAAAATCCCACAATAATTTAAAGCTGACTGCATTTGTTGAACACATCTAAAACAAACAATCTATTATCTATTTTAAATAACAAGATCAATCCCTGGCCCCCAGTCCCACGTCTAGTCATAAAGGTGTCTCCTTTTTCAATGGCAAACCATTAGGGCGAACAGGGCCTTCGTACTCAAGTTTCAGTTTTTGTTTCAACACCAACTGCTGATTGTCCATCATTCCATTCCCATTGGCAATGTTATTGTCATTTGTTGTGTTATCTGATTGTCCATTTCTTGTCCCAACATTATTGGCATTGCCATTGGTTTTGGTATTGAAGCTTTGGTTTGAGACCATGCCGTTGGAGATTCTTTTGCGTCTCATTTCTGGGGAAAGAGATCGCAGTCCCAGTGCTATTTTGGGTGATGGTTGATCAGTGGTTGTTTTTGTAGTATTTGCAGAGACATGTTTGGCTGTCACTGCAGGCAGGGATGCCTTTTGTTGCTGGCTGTGTATTTTGGCAAGGTGAGCGGGCAATGGCTGCCAAACGGGTTCATCATTGGCATTGAAAAGTTCTGCATGCGGGTTTGAGATAATGTTGAAGTTTCTTGGAATGTCCACTCGCACTGCAGAGACACTTTTCTTTCTGTCCTTCTCCCCTTTCTCCTTGTTTGGACTTCCGAGAAGCCTTTTGATCTCTTTCTTAGGGCTGATCAACTTCTTCTTGTTCTGCTTTGGTGGTAGCTCAGGTGGTTTTCTATCTATGTTACTATCTGGCAATATTATCATACTGGGGGCCTCGCTCACTGGTGACCCTCCAGGGCTTTGTGTTGGGCTTTGGGGTTCGCTTACAGGCGACAACACGCGACTGAGCCTATTGCGCCCTCGTCCAGTTGAAGCCTGCTGAAGCTGTTGGGTGAAGGTCATACCTTGGCTGTCACATGGCACGCTATTGCAACTCTGATTGGTTGACGAGTTGCTGGATGTGAGATTGCTCGATGACTTGGAGGAGTTGTTGGACATGCAGGATTTGCGTTTATCCAGGGTTGAAACTGGTGACTCTGTGGGAGAAGCTGTGGCGTGATAACCATTAGAAATGGGAGCAATGCTGGTAACAGCAGGCCCTGACGATGTTTTTGTATCACAGCTCGAAGTCGACGTTGAATTGAGGGTGTTAGAATTGTACGGGAAGGCTCCGTATTCCTCTAAAAGTTTACACACGCCCTGATGGTTTCCCTTCATGGCCACGCGCATTGGTGTGCGCCCACACTGATCGGCATGGTTGGCATTGGCGCCATACTGAAGCAACAGACGGACAATCTCATCGTGCCCCTCCTGGGCAGCTATACACAGGGATGTAGCACCTTGGTTGCATGTGTGTTCAACATCAGCACCAAACTCTAGTATGAGCTTAACAATACTAAAATGTCCCTGCCAAGAAGCAGACTGCAGAGGAGTGCGACAGTCATTGTCCACAGAATTCACGTTAGCACCCCAGTTGAGCAGCGCTTCACAGATCTCATGGTGACCCTGCCATGAGGCGACATGGAGTGGAGTTCGACCCTCGAAGTCTGCAATCTCGGGATCAGCACCGCCTTTGAGAAGAGCATTTGTGATGACGAGGTTGTTTTCCAAGGCAACCAAGTAAAGAGTGGATCTTCCATCTGCATCACAATAATTCATGTCCGTCCCCTCTTGGATTAAAAGCTCAGTGACCTCTTTGTGACCTTCCATGGCAGCAACACGAAAAGCGTTCTTCCCATCATGAGATCGGTGGTCCAGAAGCGATCCTGCAGCCAGCAGAACTCTGACACATTCCAAATGACCTTCTTGTGCAGCTACGATGAGTGGAATTCGACCTTCATTGTCTGTTTCATTGACCTTAGAGCCATGTTCGATTAAAGCTTCACAAACCTGAAAGATTAAATGAAATATTATTATAACTGACAAGTATTTTTTCAATGTTTTTCAAAAGCTCAATTCCTTTTCATAACCTTTTCAAAAACACGAATAGCAGCAGCTACATTATCAATTCACTCTAAGAATTATGCAAAGTAGAGAGATTGTTACTTCAAATAAAAGATGTAAACACTATTTTCCATGAACAGCACTTAGTAGAAATATAGTGAAAACAGGCTCAGATTTTTTCTTTCTCCTTTGCAGAGTCTGCAGATAACATATGCCTGTCTGCTAATCACATCAGGGTAAACCAGAATAACAAAGCTATCTCCAATTCTCTGAGGCCAACACTTTTCAGCCTCGCTGATTTTACAAGTAAAACAAAACCTGATCCGGGGCAACTAATTGTTTTTTCTTGTAAAGAACCAATGTGATGGAAAATTTTCTTTTCAGCCTTGATATAACACGTAACTTTGTTTTCCTTCATCTGGTTTATCCTAATCGACCAAAAGCTTTCATAACTATGGCATCAAATTCCTTTGATTCCTGTAAATTTCCTTATAAATCCACCTGAATGCAATGATATATTCACAGAATATATGCATCAAATCATCTACGGCCCCAAATCTGTTTATTGGTTCATCATCATCATATGAAAACCCTCTTAATTCCAGGAATCTCAATTTGTCCTGCAGTTTATAATCCAACCATTGGTGTTCCAATATCGGATTATGGTCATGGCAAAAAAAAATCTCCATAATTAAAAGTCTAGACGGTTACTTACTGGAGGCCAATAAGTACAGCATTGCCACCAAGTTACTCAATAGGATTACGGTATAATTTTTTTCTCTTACAGTAAAAGGTCCTGCTCATTACCATGTATGTGTAAATCAGGAAGGGTTTTTAATGTATATCTATACAGAAAACTGACCCGAGTTCACTTGATAGGTTAAACTCATCACTGTAAAGTTTTGTAAACAGATTTTATTGAACATTTTTTGCCTGTAAGTATATTGCCTTAAAACAGTATTGTCAGAATGAAAATCAATCCCTTCTCTAATGGTTTTTACCTAACAAAACTCATCATGAGGGTTTTGTCAATAGATTTTTGAACATTTTACTTAGGTCACTTCAAAATTTTAGTATTATAAAAAATCTCACCAATATTTCCTGTAAAGACTATTTGATATTAATGGCACAAAGACTTTGTATTTTTTTTCCAAATGTTGAAAATACCCCAAAAATGTTTTCATTGTTCAAAAAAGTACACAGCAGCCTTTTTCCACAGCAGCTGAACAAATAAATGATTTCTTGATGATCTTGCCTATGCAATAGAAAGTCTTATTCTGTGAATTGCAATTCTTTCATTTCTGACCACCCCATCTTGGGTCAAACAGAATCAAGAATATCTGCCACTCTGCCATTTGTTAGTTTAGACTGGTTTAGCACAAAATCAATAGTTTAAGTCGGAAGAAAATGAACTGTCTGACCTCCATGCTCCACACAAAAAGCCACATGTAATCATAATTGTGGATTTAAAAAAATTGGATGAATTCCGACGGATGAATTATTACTTTCAGAAGATGAGACAAAATTTTTCTTAAGAGTTTTGAAATTATGTTTCACGAGGTCATGAAGTTCAGAGCTGTTCTTTAATGATGCATATTCTGTTACACCATCACTTCTTTAACATCCATTAGAAAAGTAGTCCCATTTAATCTGAATCAGTCAGTTCTGGGGAGAAACACGACTGACCTTTAACTTCACGTCAAAGTTTGACTGATTGAATCAAAATCTTCATTTAAGAAATAGATATAATGTGATTTTGATTTTACATTATATCACTGCCATGGCAACAATTTTCGTAAGATGTAGCTTCTGTCCCTAGCCATACAACTTTCGTTCTAAAGGGACACTGACTAATATTTTNCACAAAAAGCCACATGTAATCATAATTGTGGATTTAAAAAAATTGGATGAATTCCGACGGATGAATTATTACTTTCAGAAGATGAGACAAAATTTTTCTTAAGAGTTTTGAAATTGTGTTTCACGAGGTCATCATGAAGGTCAGAGCTGTTCTTTAATGATGCATATTCTGTTACACCATCACTTCTTTAACATCCATTAGAAAAGTAGTCCCATTTAATCTGAATCAGTTCTGGGGAGAAACACGACTGACCTTTAACTTCACGTCAAAGTTTGACTGATTGAATCAAAATCTTCATTTAAGAAATAGATATAATGTGATTTTGATGTTACATTATATCACTGCCATGGCAACAATTTTCGTAAGATGTAGCTTCTGTCCCTAGCCATACAACTTTCGTTCTAAAGGGACACTGACTAATATTTTGCTGTCGATGACATTTGATATAATGGTCACCAAGGCCTCGTTTGCATATCTGATCGTGACGTCCACGTCAAGATCCGACTGTCTGAATTGAAATCTTCATTTGAGAAAAAAAAAAGAGATAATGTGATTTTGATGTTTTATCACACAACTGCCATGACATCAATTTTCTCAAGACATTGTATTTGTCTTTTAATCTACGACTCAAGATCAGTTGGGAAAAAATCCCAATATTTTGAAGCCAATAGCCTTCAATGTAATGGTCATTTGGGCTTGGTTTGAATAAAGTTAGATTAAAGACTCAAATTGACATAAGCTAATCATTATGAGCTCTATAGCCATCAATGTTACTTGGGGGGCGGGGGGTTATAAAGAGCACTTTTTTGCCATAATGGCAAAGAACCCAGTTCTCATTGTAAGTCACAGTAGGCCTTTCCACAGCCAAAAGGGCAGTTTGTTCAAATTTCAATTGGTCATGTCACACATTTACAATTGAGACCAGACCTCTTACCTTTATAAACCAACAGACATCTTTTTTTTTTTTTTTTTTTGGGGGGGGGGGGGAATGAGGGGGAATGAAGAAAAGAAAAATAAAAATCAATTTCCACAGCAGCACCTGATACAGGTAGATAGCCATCAAAATACATTTTTTGCTGACAACTAAGGGTACATTACAGTCAGTTGAGATTCCTTCATTCCAGAGTGCTGAGCAACCAAAACTAATCACCACCTTGGGTAGCTAAAGCTTGCTGATGCACTATCTGATAACAATCCATCTCTGTTGCCTTTTGGAATTTTTCCTTCTTTTTTCCCCTTTTTTTCTGACAACCTAAGAAATCCTATTTTGAAAACACTGGCCAGATTTCTCTTTAATTAAAATAATCACAGCCAAACTCACACCAAACCAGTACTAACCAGAAGTCAAAGATACTTAACCATGATTGAAAACACGCACATGTATTTACTCTCAACTATTGGCTCAACATCGAAGACATCCTTCCTAGCTGAAATTTGCCACCTATAAACACCATCCAGCTTTCAAAAATTTACAAAATGGCAAAAAAAAAAATTAAAATGGTGTCATGCGAATGGTGTGAGTAGTATATTGGGTTGACCTCTGCAAACATATAAGACCAAATGGGAAAATGCATGTTAAGCTATTGGGGGGTAAATTGGCCAAACCAAACAGGAACATCTTGGAGAGCACTGCAAATTCATCTTGAAGTTCCCTGGGTGTGAAAACATAAATAATCAATTTTACTTAACTTTCTGCCAGTTCTGAAATGCATTCCCAGAGAGATTTGACCTTCTTCAGAAAGTGTATTGAAGAGTTATATGTAATTTATTTCAAAATTGTGTGATAAAACAATTGGCACCACCTGTAATGGTAGTCAAAAGATTCTTAGCAGCAATAAACAGAACTCGATTTGTGTGCTGAATCATTTCAGTCCAACATATGCTTTCCAATAGCAAGTAAATCTTTATAATGGACATTTCACCTCACTATCCAAGAAGCATTATAAATTATTCATTCAGAAGAGACAGCAACTGAGGCAAATCGGCACACTAATATCCAAGTATAATCTAACTAAAGCAGCAAATTGGGAGTCCAGATACTGGTAATGAAAGACACATTGAATTACAGATGTAACTTAATATAATTCAAAATGCTTATTTAATCTTCTCATCCGATGAAGCCAATGACAATGTAATAAAATGGAGAATCGATGATTAATTTGTAACAACATAATCAAAAAGGTTTGATTTTTTTAACATGAAGCTAAATGCCATTATTCAATGACTGACTGACGAAAAAAAAAAAAACCTAATGAAAAATTTTGGAAATCTAAGTCATATGTGCCTGTCATTTCTCTTAAAATCACAATAATCACCTAAATTGAGACTTATGAAAATACTAAATTATAATTCTTCTCAAATATTTGATTTTGTTGGTCATCTGTGTAAGACTGGCCAAAGGTAACATGATAACATCAGGACTGGTCATCCTTCATTAGTAGCCTCATGTAAACTGATCTGGCTGACTGCAAACATTTTGATGGTCTGGTCATTTTTTCACTGCAAGAAAACCTCTCTACTTATTTCATGGGCAAATTAAAACATGTCAACAATGTATTAGACTTATCCAGCTGTTTGACCTTTTCCTGGGCTAAAAAGCTGTATTTGAAGAGAAAATGAAGTCTTGTTCTCTGGTTTTAAAATAACATTTTTCCTGTTAAAATTCAGAAACCTGTTTCATATAAAAATTTTATCTCTTTGATGTGAATAATTATTTTTTACTGACTTTTATTTCCAACAACAGAAAAAAAAATGCATTGACAACCATATTCAGCTTTTTTTCCAAGTATGTTTTCAAACTGTAAATAAACCAAAGTCAAATCTCGGGATCTTCAATTGACCACCTCAACTGCAATTGCACCTCGGTGGGCTTTATTTTCCACAAATTGCAAAAATTTCCCTCCTCCAGTGCTAAGCATAATTATGGCAAACGAGGTGCAATAAAATCCTCATTTTTCTTTCTGAAACACCTGTCTCATTTACAAAAAGTTCTATGTCACCACAAGCAGTCTGTCACTTTCTTGTCCAGCACCCTAGAGCACAGTGCTATTGTACAAAGCTAAATCATGACAATGAAAAAAATTAT